CATTATACTATTGCTCTTATTCTTGACATTACTGAAGTTAAGTTACATTCTTGTTACCTGTCTAATCTTTGTAAGGCCTGCTTTCCCAACAGGATAATGTTAGTCCAGTGCTTCCAGATGATTGCTAATGCCTGCATGACTAATAAGATGGAACCCAATTCCAGGGGGACCTACCCTGTAAGGGTCTTTCCTTCTGGCCCCCTTGTTGTTCAAATGTGGCTTGGGCCTCTTCTGCTGACTCCTATTGACTCATATTTTCCCTCTAGTGTGGGATCAGAACAACTAGGACAAGCACCTCCCAGCACTGAGGGATGATCAAGCCTACCTTCAAGGACAGTTGGCAAGTAATGCTTTCAGAGAAAAACTTTGGTCAAAATAGGGGAATGGGGTGTGGTGGCTCACTCCTTTAATCTCAGCACTTTGGAAGGCTGAGGTGGATGCATCATTTGAGGTCAGGAGTTCGAGACCAGCCTGGGGAACATGGTGAAACCCTGTCTCTACTAAAAATATGAAAATTAGCCGGGTGTGGTTGCATGTACCTGTAATCCCAGCTACTCCAGAGGCCGAGGCACAAGAATTGCTTGAGCCTGGAAGGCGGAGGTTGCAGCGTGCGGAGATGGCACCACTGTCCTCCAGATTGGGCAACAGGGCAAGACTATATCTCAAAAAAACAAAATAAAATAAAATAAAGTGGGTGGGGGGAATGTGAAAATTGATTATCTAAATGGAGTCATTTCTGTCATACTCAACTAAAATTTAGAGTGGTGGGCCATAGAGAAAAAACAAATACAAAACAAAACTCAGGTCTCAAAAGCCTGCTCCAGAAACGGTCCAGCAAGCCCAATTCAATGAAACAGCTATTTCAGATTTACAACTAGTTTTACAAGGAAACAGCCACCAGGACTTTAAAACTAGTTTAACTTAGGAATTGCGGCCACTGACAATCAGAGCTCGCCAGCTCCTGCAAAAAAAAAAAAAATGTTGCAAGCACCAATGAGCTTTCTTTCATAACAACCCACATAATCTTTCTCCTTTCCCAAAAAAACCTCAACCATTTTTTCATTCTACCACATATTGGAGACCACCCTGGTCTATGCATGTGTCCCAGATTGCAACCCTATTTCTTTGTTTATTCCAGAATAAACCCTTTTTTGCTTGGAGATTCATCTCTCTCTCTATTTGTTATTGATAAAATATAAAAAGCTAATAAGAGACTGTGTGGGCCTGGCGCGGTGGCTCACGCCTGTAATCCCAGCACTTTGCGAGGTCGAGGCAGGTGGATCACTAGGTCAAGAGATCGAGACCATCCTGGCCATGGTGAAACCCCGTCTCTACTAAAAATACAAAAATTAGCCGGGCATGGTGGCACGCGCCTGTGGTCCCAGCTATTCAGGAGGCTGAGGCGGAAGAATCTCTTGAACCCAGGCGGAGGTTGCAGTGAGCCGAGATTGCGCCACTGCACTCCAGCCTGGCAACAGCATAAGACTCCGTCTCAAAAAAAAAAAAAAAAGAGAGAGAGAGATTGTGTGGAACATACATGCAAATGAATAAAAGTTTGTGAGCTATCTAATAAATGAGACCAAGCCTGTGTATTTTTGTCTTTAGCTCCTGGCTGGGAAGAATTAAGACCATCAGCCAAAATTCAGAACACACTCTAATAAGTTGCAAACACTAATCAAAATCAAATGCTAGCTGCAGCCTCAAATTCCTGGGCTCAAACTATCCTCCCACCTCAGCCACCTGAGTAGCTAGGACTATAGGTGGGTGACACCACGCCCAGCTAATTTTGTTGTTGCTGCTGCTGTAGAGAGAAGATCTCACTATGTTACCCAGCGTGGTCTCAAACTCCTGGCTTTAAGTGATCCTCTTACCTCAGCCTCCCAAAGTGCTGGGATTATAGGCATGAGCGACACACCTGGCCTAAATGCTAAGTATATATTAAACTAACTGGTTAATTACCTAATGAGCCTGCTTAAACTGGAAATTTTGTTTTCTAATAACATTTGTTTTTGTTTTTTTTTCTAATTGAACTGATGTTTTCCAAAAGTACCAAATGCTGATGTAGTAGCATTTAGATTGAACTGATGTTTTCCAAAAGTACCAAATGCTGATGTAGTAGCATTTAGAAGCTAAATGTAACTACTATGTAATGTAGTAGTAAATGTTACTATATAACGTTTACTACATAGTAACTTACAGTATGTAACTGTTAGTTACACAGCAGTTACATTTTGCTACTAAATGTAACTGAATAGCATTTGGCTACCAAATGTATATACTTAAACACATGTTTACTTACATTTAGCTACTAAAAGCTATTCAGTTACATTTAGTAGTGAAATGTAACTAAATATGTGTTTAAGCATATGAATTATATCTTTAACAGTCATGCCTATTATTTAGCCCTATATTTGTCCTTTGTATTCTTACATATTTTAAGATGAATACCAGATGTAGTTCTAGGTAAATGGGAAACTCATGATGCACAAGGACAGAAATGGAGAAATTGGGAAGACAGTTGGACTTATGAAGATAGATAGGATTGTAACATTTATTGGGCACTTGCTATCTAACAGACTCTGTCCTAAGTCTTTTGTAGGTATTACCTCCCATAGTTTTCCCTAATATTATTGCTGTTTATTCTCATTTTAGTGATTTGGAAACTGATGCTCACAGATATTAAGTAAATGCTGAAGATCATACAAACTGTCTTAGAACCAAGATTCAAACCTAGGAAACCCGATTCTAATGTTCATGTAGTTAATCACTCAAAGTGTCTGCAGTATATGAGAGTGTTAGTTTTACTTAGGATGTATTGAGTTTGACTAGTTGATGTTTGGTCATTTGAAATTGAATATCTTAAAGATTGTGAAGGTATGAAATTGGCAGTGAGACAGAAATGAAAGTCACTGATGGCAGACAGGTACGTAGATGACTAATTCATTCAAATGTATTTTCCTTTAGCACCTGCTTTGTACCAGGTGCTGGTGTAATCCACTCAACCGATTTTCCTTGCCCGCTGCCTAGACAGAGTCGATTTATAAAGATAGGGGAATTGCAATAGAGAAAGAGTTTAATTAACCCACAGCCAGCTGTACGAGACTGGAGTTTTGTTATTACCCAAATCAGTCTCCCCAAACGCTTGGAGGTTAGGGATTTTACAGAGATAGTGTGGAGAGCAAGGGGGGTAGGGTAGGGGCATGGAATGCTAATTGGTTGGGTTAGAGATGAAATCACAGGGAATCGAAGCTGCTCTCTTGGGCTGAGTCAGTTCCTAGGTGGGGCCCACAGGACATTTTGGCAGGTCCAGGTGGGGCCACTAGTTTTCAGAAATGCAAAAGCTTAAAAAGACACCTCAAAAGACCAATCTTAGATTCTACAATAGTGCTGTTATCTTCAAGAGTCATTGGGGAAGTTGGTAATCTTTTATTTATTTATTTATTTATTTGAGATGGAGTTTTGCTCTTGTTACCCAGGCTGGAGTGCAATGCTGCGATCTCGGCTCACTGCAACCTCTGCCTCCTGGGTTCAGGCAATTCTCCTGCCTCAGCCTCCTGAGTAGCTGAGATTACAGGCATGCGCCACCATGCCCAGCTAATTTTTTTTTTTTTTTTTTTTTTTTGTCTTTTTAGTAGAGACGGGGTTTCACCATGTTGACCAGGATGGTCTCGATCTCTTGACCTCGTATCCGCCTGCCTTGGCCTCCCAAAGTGCTGGGATTACAGGCATGAGCCACCACGCCCGGCTGAAGTTGGAAATCTTATGACCTCCGAAATGATCGTTGGTAATTATTTATAATTCAGGCCCCTCTCATCCTAATTTTGTGGCCTTTCACTCATTTTATAGTATTTAGTTTTTAGGAGGGCTATTATCATTTAAACTATAAACTAGGCCAGGCACAGTGGCTCATGCCTGCAATCCCAGCATTTTGGGAGGCCAAGGCAGATGGATCACCTGAGGTCAGGAGTTCAAGACCAGCCTGGCCAACATGGCAAAACCCTGTCTCTACTAAAAAATACAAAAAATTACCGGGCGCAGTGGCTCACGCCTATAATCCCAGCACTTTGGAAGACCGAGGCATGTAGATCCCAAGGTCAGGACCAGCCTGGCCAAGATGGTGAAACCCTGCCTCTACTAAAAATACAAAAATTAGGTGGGCATGGTGGCGGACGTCTGTAATCCCATCTACTCAGGAGGTTGAGGCAGAGAATTGTTTGAACCTGGGAGACAGAGATTGCAGTGAGCCGAGACTGCACCACTGCACTCCAGCCTGGACGACAGAGGGAAACTCTGTCTCAAAAACAAAAAAAAGGAAAGAAAAGAAAAAGAAAAAAATACAAAGTATTAGCTGGGCATTTGTGGTGGGAACCTGTAATCCCAGCTACTCGGAGGCTGAGGCAGGAGAATCGCTTGAATCCGGGAGGCGGAGGTTGCAGTGAGCCAAGATCGCACCCCTGCACTCCCGCCTGGGCAACAGAGCGAGACTCTGTCTCAAAACAAAACAAAGCAAACTATAAATTTCTCCCAAAGTTAGCTTGGTCCATACCCCAGAATGAGCAAAAACAGCCAACCTGTGAAAGTAGAGACAAGATGGAGTCAGCCATGTCAGATTTTTCTCACTGTCATAATTTTCTTAGTTACAATTTTTTGCAAAGGTGGTTTTACTGGCCTAAGAGATATGAATGAATTCAGGATGAACGGGGCATTTGAGGTCTCTGGTCTCACAGAGCTTAGTGGGAGGTGATGTGATAAGTGAATTAGTAAAATTTCAGCACTATTAAAAAAATCAAGATAATAGTGTCTTCAGATGTGTTTATGGAGGCAGCTGGCTATTGACTACCTTAGCGATCTGATAAAATGAGGAAGTCTTTTTCTTTTCTTTTCTTTTTTTTTTTTTTTTTTTTGAGATGGAGTGTCACTCTTCCCTCCCAAGCCTCCTCCTCCCTCCTTCCTCCTCCCTCCTCCGTGCCCCGCCCCTTACCCTTGAGCGCCTGCGGCGGTTACCATAGCGACGTGCACGCAGCAGCCGCGCCTGAGGTGCTAGTTCCCCGCTGGCCAAACGAAAGACGCGGCGCCATGAACCACGCAATATCCATCCAGGAGCCCGCGGCCAAGCCGCAGGTGTCTCAAACCCCGTACCGGGAGAGGTCGCAGGCCGGGAGCCACGTCTCCTCCAATCGAGCGTATGATTTTCTGTACGGTAAGGGCCTCCCCCGACCTTCCTCCTCTTTCGTCGACTCTTGGGCCAGGTGGGCTCCCAGATGGTGGGACCCGGCCAGGGTTGTGGCGAACGAAAGACCACCCTCTGGACGGAACTATTGCCCGCAGTTGTCACTGGTCTGGTGGGGGCAGCTCCTAGCCCTCCGGGTGGCTGCGCTCGGGGTGGGGTTGGGGGTGCGGGTGCACGGGAAGGCGCGGGTGCGCTCCACTTAAGGGGGCGATCTTCTTGAATCCTATTCCTGGCGTTTTGGTATCCAGAAAAGTATTCAACGGTTTGTCGACCCCCAGATTCACTCACCGTTCCTGCAGAAAATGCCCGACGAAAATGGTCTTTTCTCTCCCACTCTGAACAACTCCAAGTTTGTCGAAGAGAAGTGCCAGTTTATCTCACGTTTGCTTTTAGTTTTTCTTTTTCTTTTTTTAACTTATTCGTCAAAGCATTATTTATAGGCTAGGTCCCCTGGCTCCTCCTGGGCCAGTAAAGCCCCAGTTTATTTTAACGGCTTGGTTGTCCATTTTATGTTCTCCCTCCAGGCTTCTTGAGTTCCTTAAGTTCCTGTTGTATATATTTTTGTAGCTTTCTGAACACCTATTCTAGTGCTGATACGTATACTAGGTGCTTCAACAAATAAATGTTTATTGGATTTGCCGTTGCAAGAATTGTAACCAGCTAAGCATGATTTTTTTCCAATTTTGCTGTCTGTAATCCCAGGTTTTTCACCATAAACCTGCGTTGCTTTCAACAATGTGGTGTTGCCTCTGGGAATCCCAGGGTCTCCTTTGTGTGGGTATCTCTAGGGTACACGTTCCTAGATAGAGTGTAATGATTGCTGACATATTCTGGCCAGTAGTTTTCTGTATTCGCTCTTGGTTTGAAATAAATCAAGTTAGCTCCTGTAAACACATCACCATGCTTTTTTTTTTTCCCACAGGTAATTTGAGAATGGCGACAAACATCTCCCCAGAGTTTTATTAAGCTACCTGTTTCTTTGATGCCTTAGTGTCTCTTTTGCAGAGGATTTGCTACATGTTTCCATGTCCTTTGATAAGAACAGAAATTCACTCAGAGTAGATCAAATGAAAGTTTGAAATGTTATAAAACAATCCCACCACTCTTCATGGACAGGAAGTGAAGTATAACCAGGGCTGATGAGAACCTGGATGGGGAAGATCAGAACTAAGATGCTGTGTTCTCCTTCATTCTTTCTTTGACCTTAGGATCTTTCACCTTATTAGGGTTTCCATATTTAGCAAATAAAAAAGCAAGATGCATAAACTTGAATTTCAGATAAATAATAATACTTTAGTATGAATTTATGTCCTATGAAATATTTTGGGACATATTTATACCAAAAAATTATTCATTGCCTATCTGAATTTAAATTTAACTGGACATCCTGTATTTTATCTGGCAACTGTAGCCTTCTTTCTATGTATACTCAAGCCCCAGGTAATGATATTTTGGTCAACAGTGGACTACACGTGTGATGATGGTCCCATAAGATTATAATGAAGTTGAAAAACTCCTATTACCTAGTGACATTGTAGCTGTCACAACATTGTAGCGCAATGCATTACTTTTTCTACGTTTAGATAAACAAATATTGTGTTACAATTGTCTACAGTATTCAGTACAATAACATGCTGTATGGGTTTGTAACCTAAGAGCAATAGGCTATACCATACAGCCTCAGTGTGGAGTAGGCTATACCATCCAGGTTTGTGTTAAGTACCCTCTGATATTTACACAATGATAAACTCACTTCATGATTCGTTTCTAAGAACTTATCCCCATCGTTAAACAACACACATCACTATGCTTTCTTCTTCCATATGACAGAAAGTGTCTTGTGTATGGATTTCTCTCACTATGACAGGGACTGGGTGGCATGCTTCTTGACGAATTAACCCTAAAGCTCATTACCAATTGTATAGAGTCTTTGTGTGTTGTAGTTGAAAATTTAAGTTAGAAATTTAAGATTGGTTGTTGGCTGGCCAATGAGTTGACTTGCCTTGGGCCAGGTTTCCACCTTGACAGAACTGTGGTGGTACAAAGATGACCACCTTTCCAGGCTCTTTTACTCTTCCCTACGAAGCCCTGTATGATTGTCCCCTGTTCACTTCTCCAGCCTTTTCTCTACTCTCTTTTCCCTCCTTCATTCTGCCTCATTCCTCCTGGTTTCTTTACTGTTGTTCCCATCCTAGGGCCTTTGCTGTTCTTCAGATGTATCAGGCATGCCCCCATCCTAAAAATGTTCTTCAGATATCTATCTAGCGAACTTCCTCACCTTCAAGTCTCCTTACATGCCACCTTCTCAGTGAAGCCTGCCGTGACCACCCTACTTAAAATTGCAACCCAATTTCCTTTACCCGATTTCTTCTTTTTTAGAAATAACAACTCTCAAATTCTAATGTGTAATTTGCTAGTTTATTATGTTTGTTGTTTATCGTCTCTCATGAAGTCAACAATTTTTGTCTTTTTGTTGATGTATTCTAAGCACTTAGATATAGTAGCCAGTCAATAAACATGTATTGAATGAAGGAGCAAAAAGAGCCTGAGCCTCTTGCAGCTTTTCAGCCTTGGTGGGAATATCCAATGTCTACATTCAGTAAATCATATTGGTTGGGTAACTAATGAATTATTAGGTTTTAGGAATTGACACACGTTATCCAAATTCAAAGGAGACCTATTTCTAAATCACAATTCCAAATTTATTAATTTCTATATGTGTTACCATGTTATCCAGACTAGCTGGTCAGGGTATTTGCCTCCCCAGGGACAAGTCTACTTGGGAAATCAAGTGTATCTGAAGGCTGCTTGTTAATTTAATGGCAAATAAGTTGATTGTAAAGGATGGTACAGTATAATCAATCATGAATACTCCCTGTCACTTTAAAGATATACCTGATAAACAGATACTTTTAACACCAGGGCAATATGTTGCTGGACTTTGTAAAAATAATAGTCCCATCATCAGCAAACTTATAAACTTAAGGGGTGATTTCTGAAGATTACTGATCTTGTTTTAAACCATGTTCACCAATTCTGAGATGTCATATGGTTTGCATCTTTCCAGTGCACCAAATATGGGAGATAGGGTATACATGTATTGCTCCTTTCACTTGCAAATTGGCATAGCGCATATATGCAAGGTGCATATATTCTTCCTCTTGAAGAATTTTTTGGGCTACCCAGGCTCAGAAGGAGTTTTGTTCATAGGAGAGAAGAAAGTGTGTTTAGGGTATAGTACTTGAAAACATGCTAGGCTTTCCTTTTGCATCCCACTTCCATAAGCTGACTTAGAATACTCAAAAAAGAAAAATCTTGACAACTGCCACTTGTAGAAGTGGTGGAGTAACAGGGCCACATGCACAACAGAGCGTGAGCTGCTGCAGTGTCAGGCAATATGTAAACTTTTAAATTTGTTTTCCAATTAAGAGATTGCATTAGTTTGCCATTTTTCTCAGCCTAGGAGTAGATGTGTTCTATTTGTTATGCTACTTGATTGTTTATTTTTCAGATCCATTGTTTATTGTGTCAAGCGAGAAAGACCACACACAGGCAAATATCCAAGCCACCCTGATTCGCAGCAGACTGGTATGTCTAATTCATCAACCAAGGCTGCGTAATAAACCTGAACCATCTAGTTTGCTTAACTGCATTGATCAGATTGACTAATCATCAGAAATTTACTGGATTTTAGGTTCTGCAGAAATTACTTTGCCAAGATCACTAGTGGGCAAAGCATCTTAATACTTGTGGCTCATTGTGAGGATGAAGTCACTAATAATGAACAGAGACCCATAAACTAATTTATTTCAATGGGATAAGTATAATAATATATGCCCACGTTAAAAGAATTCAGCTAGTACAAAAGCATATACAGTATGAAGTAAATTCTAGCCCTACCCCACCCCCTCCACATAAACAGCCATTGTCATCTGTTTCTTGGGCATCTATTTACAGATACACTGTGCATATAGCAATAACCCCTCTTCTTATGCTATACACATTGTTTTGTATCTTTTAAAAAAGGGTTTATATTGTAATTAAAATGCTTTAGAAAAGCTGATGGTATAATTTTGTCCTTTGCCTCCCTTCCCTAACATTAGAAAAAAGTTCCCAGGTTTAAAACCATGTTCAGTAACCTGATCCATTATCCAAGATATTCTCTATATTGGAGCAATTCAGATCCTGTCCCACCATTTATCAGTCGGGAATGGAAGGGACATGAGGAGAGACACAGAGAAGCCCTCCAGCAGCTCACCAGGCAAGTGTTGGGTGGCTCCAGGGCCTTAAAATAAGTGCATTTAAAACATTTATTTTTATTCATTTACCATGTGTGATTTAAAAAGTTCAGTTGTGATGTTACACCTAGGCCAAAATTTTTTTCTAAATGTCTTTTGGCTGAAACAAGCCTGATTTATGTATATATATAATATGTATATTGTATACGTATAATATATATGCACATCTGTGTGTGTGTGTGTGTGTGTGTGTGTGTGTGTGTGTGTGTGTGTGTAATATATATAATTACAGCTTGCCACCAAAGGTAGGGATGACTGAGTTTGTTGTTGCTTGGTATCCAACTAAGCAACTGAAAGTACTCTTTTCTGGCAATATCTAAAATATTTTTTGGAGACTTGCAGCCAAAGCACTGTCAAGGATAAGTAGAATTCTTTATTCTTTTAATTACTTACAAGTTTACATTTAGTAAATTAAAAATAATAAAGCCTTTTAGCCTGGATGTAGAAAAATTGTCTTTGAATATTTTGTTATTCTCATGTGCTTTTAATTAAAATTGGGCATTTTGGCATGTGGGATTTCATAAATCTACTCTTTTCTCAACTCTTGCTCCCTCTGACTAGTTCCTGGTCTCCTGGCTGAGGGCAGGGGAAGAATCATATATACTCTGAGTTGTATGACGGTCAAATGCAGGTTATGGAAGACTTCACTCTCAGTATGGGATACTCTGTGTAGCTCCTACTCTGTACACACAGAAATATTAAATAGAAATTATATGTGGAAATATTTTAGACTTGAATAATGTTTTCTTGTTTCATTTTAGAACTGACACTTCTTTTCAGATGCCTAGAGAAGTTTATGAAGATCCTGAAGTTACTGGAAAGAATCGCTATAAATACTTTGAAAGGTAGAATATAATTACTAATGAACATTTGAACCCTAATATTATTAGAGAAACTCTTTGTGATAATAATACCAGCTATCATTTTTCAGTGCATTCAATGTGCCAGACTGTTTTAAATGCTTTACATGCATCTCATCTAATCTTTACAACAGAAGTGTAGGATAAGATATATATGATCCCTGTTTTACCAATAATGGAACTGAGACCGAGAGAGGATAAATAAATTGCTCAAGGTCATAAAAGCTAGCAAGAGGTAGGTCTGGGGTTCAAACTAAGCCTGCCTGACTTTAGAGATAGTGACTGCAATTAAGCTTATGTATTTGAAAACATTTGAAATGAAGTCATCAAATGAATGAGACACAGTAGAGATATCATGAAGTCACAGTGAAGGGGAAACTGTTGTGTTCAGATGGATAACGTTTGTTCTCTTTGTGTGAATCTTGCCCAAACCAACATGGCCAAAAGAGTCATTTTATTTCATTTGTGATTTATACTCATGTGATAATCATATATTCAAATTAAAATAAGATGGGTATTTCCTTGAATATCTTACTGGAGTTAGAAAAAATAGTCTTGATACCACATCTGCATAAGCTTCCTTGAGAAAGTAAATTTCTAATCCGCATTATTATTTATGAGCCTCCTCATGGAAATTTTGTGATGCTGACTTTTTTCAGAGAAATGTTAAATCCTTAACTGTAGTATACAGTTAAGTATACAATTCTTAGCTTTTAGGAGGAGGCTTTAGATTAAATCATCGTGAATTTCAGAATGTCTCAAGAACTTGAGAAGTTGCTGGGAACTAATGGCCAGCTGAAGCCCAAGTTCAGGGCTTAAAGTGTGGCTTCTTCAAGTGTGGCTTGTTTACTGTCTGAGGAGAAAGTACTAGAGTGTTTATTAAGAAGGCACATTCATTGGCTCTACCCTGTGTGTACTGAATCTCATGCGTCAGATCTGGGAATTTGCATTTTAGATATGAACCTCCCCATCCTCCAGTGATTTTTGTATATCCAGAAGTTTTAGTAACACTAATGTATGGGATATTTAAGCTCATTGATTTTTAAGGGACAAAGATGAGAGTTGGAAGAAAGCCTAGAGGGTATTCTTTGCAAAAGTCCCACACATTTATGTTTTCCTCTTCCTCCCAGGCCTTTTCTTCCATTTTTTCAGCAGATGCCATTGAATGTTGTTTATGCTATATCCAAGTAAGTAACCATTATTTAAAAACTCTTTTTCAGTTTATTAATTGTTTGCTTCCATATTTGCTCTCAGAAGGTAACTCTCTAAATCACTTATAAAACATGAAACAGAATAGAAAAAAAAACAAAAACAAAAACAAAAAAACATGAAACAGAATAGAAAATAACCAAAGCATCAGGTATATGGAGGATAAGTTGGTTTTTGTTTATAACTTTTGTTTCAAAAATATATATGGGTATGTTTATATGTATATGATGGATTATGATATAAAATGTATTTTTTACTCTTAGTTGTTGTCCATTGTGCTTCTATAACAAAATATCAGATTGGGTGATATAAATAAAATAAATTTATTTCTTGAAGTTCTGAAGGCTGGGCAGTCCAAGAGCAAATTGCTGGCAACCAGTGTCTTGTGAGGCCTTCTTGCTGTGTCCTCACATGGCAGAAGAAGCAATGCTATGTCCTCACATAGTGGAAGGTGGAAGGGCAAAAAGGACATATGCTAGTTCTCTCCAGTCCTTTAATAAGGCACTAATCTATTGATGAGGGTGAAGACCTCCTGACTTAATCACTTCCCCCAAAGACCTCACCTCTTAATACTACCACAGTGGGGATTAAGTTTAAACATGAATTTTGGAGAACACATAGACACACATTCAGACTGTAACAGTTGTGTGTTAAAGAAAAAAGCTGAAAAAGGCCAAGGTGGGTGGATCATGAGGTCAGTTGTTCAAGATCAGCCTGACCAACATGGTGAAACCCTGTCTCTACTAAAAATATAAAAATTAGCTGGACGTGGTGGCATGTGCCTGTAATCCCCGCAATTCAGGAGGCTTAGGCAGGATAATCACTTGAACCCGGGAAGCAGAGGTTGCAGTCAGCTGAGATCACGCCACTGCACTCCAACTTGGGTGACAGAGAAAGACTTCGTCTCAAAAAAAAAAAAGTTGAAAAGTGTTTTAAATATCTTATTTTGCTTCTCTGAAACACTTATTTGATGATAATTCTTCAACATTTTATCAAATAAATCAGTCATATAATGTTTTGTGAATGCTACAATTTTATAACTTAATAACCATCTAATATACACAGACAATGTGGTATACAGAGATAAATGAAACATGGTTTCTGCCCCACGATGGAGTGAACCAAGGTAAGAGAGAGGTAAGGGACAAGGGCTGAATCTGAGACAAATGTGTATTTCTCCAGTCTCTAGTTTCAGGATAAGACAACAGATTGGGTAGAGTATTGTTTTAAAAATTTAATTTGTGCTACACTCTTTCCCCTGTTAATATAACTTAATATTTCTATAGGAGAAAGACGTCCATGGTATTCATGAAATTATCAGGAATAGAAACCTTTTTTAAGGTCTCATATTTCTGAATGCAAATTTATTCAGGTCTGGGTTTTCAAGCATGCATTTAAAGACTATAGTTATCTCTAATAATAGATATCATCTTATCAATAGGACATGTGTTATTAAATGTCTGTAATCCTCAAGATAAATGCTAGTTGTGATCCTACTTCACTTTGACTTTTTAAGACTGTGTGGATGCCTTTGGCTCTTTATGGAGATGGAGAACAGATTCCCTGCTCTCCCTAACTTGATAGCATACCAGTTTATCCAGAAACAGCTATAGACTTATATTTTATGAAATGTTTTGTATGAGCAAAAGGGGAGCTATGAGCTATGTAGATCCCTAAAGATCCTTCTGGTAATTATTTAAAATCAGGTTCACTGGGTCACCTGCTTTGGAGATCATAATTGCCTCAGCCTAAAAGTTGTTAAACTAATTATAGGGAGTTCAGAGGCCTACAGTGCTGAAAACCGTGACATCCACCACTCCTCCCTTAATAACCATGACATAAGGAATAAAGATGCCATCCAAAAGTTAAACCATGACATTTTATATTGTAGCTACTCTCTGTCTCTCTTATAATTTTTTAAAGAATGAATCAGTATTCCTGAGTGAAATCAACTCCGGAATTCCAGTATGTTTGAGTTTATGAGCAGTGAGTATAATGCCACCTTGTGTTATCAGGGTTAGAATTGTCTTGAGACTGTCTGGCCTTCCCCAGCTACACCCTTTTCATGGCTAGCTGTTGGAGTCTTTCCTTTGTATTCTACATAAGCATCTTTGCAAAGAGAATAAAAAGTTAATACTTTTAAAACATTTGATAAAATTTATAGTAGAACAGGATTTGCTAGGTTTGTGAAGCCCCCTCTCTGTACAGTTCTGTTGAGGCTGGGAGAGAAAATCTAGAAGACTGTAGTTATGGCAGACAGTGCATGCGCCTGGTGCCTGGGCAGTGGTGGAGGAGAAGGGGCCTGGATAGAACAAATAAAGCAGTTCTTGCTGCCGAAAGAGTACCAAAGCCAGAGCAGGTGAGCCTGAGGACAGGAGCCAGGACACAGCAGGGGTCAGGCCAACAAGGAGCAAGTATGGGGCCTTTCTGGGTTTGGGCCCTGTTTGAGGTTGGCGAGGAGGTGGGAAAGGGCTCATTGCTCTTTGTTATTCATATTTTACTTTCCCCTAAAGCCAACTGAAATGGGGAAAAATAGGTTGGAAAAATTAAGAAACCATGTATTAAGTTACTGGAAGAGTTCAAAGTAGCTCTCCTCTTCTGCAGTCTATTCTGACCCACCTGGAAAGAAACAAAGCCGGAAACTTACATCAGAAGAGTTTATTAGGCCTTATAATAAAGCACATTTGATCAGATGGTTCAAATGTGTGATTATTTAATTTGAGAAAAAAATAATTTATTCTCTTGATTCAAGATAATGGTACACTAATATAATAAAACATCATGTAACTTAGGATGACATAAAATGGATTTGAATTTATTTCCTCAGCTAGAATTTTATAGTAGAATAATTTCTACTGAAAACATAAGAAGCCATATACTATCTACATGTTAGAAATTTATAGCAACTACTGGAAAGTGATTTTAAAAGCAGTTACAGTGCAGCATAAAAAACTAAAGTCTGGGCGCAGTGGCTCATGCCTGTAATCCCAGCACTTTGGAAGGCCGAGACGGGCAGATCACTTGAGGTTGGGAGTTTGAGACCAGCCTGGCCAACATGTTGAGACCCTGTCTCTACTAAAGATACAAAAATGGTGGGCACCTGTAATCCCCGCTACTTTGGAGGTTGAGGCAGGACAATCACTTGAGCCTGGGAGGCAGAGGTTGCGGTGAGTCGAGATTGTGCCACTCTACTCTAGCCTGGGTGACAGAACAAGACTTCATTTCAAACAAAACAAAACAAAAATATCCAGAATCTACAAATAACTTAAGCAAATTTACAAGAAAAAAACAACCCCATTAAAAAGTGGGCAAAGGATATGAACACTTTACAAAAGAAGACATTTATGTGGCCAATAAACATGAAAAAAAGCTGATCATCACTGGTCATTAGAGAAATGCAAATCAAAACCACATTGAGATACCATCTCACACCAGTTAGAATGGTGATCATTAAAAAATCAGGAGACAATAGATACTGGAGAGGATGTGGAGAAATAGGAACATTTTTACACTGTTGGTGAGAGTGTAAATTATTTCAACCATTGTAGAAGACAGTGTGGCGATTCCTCAAGGATCTAGAACTAGAAATACCATTTGACCCAGCAATCCCATTACTGGGTACACACCCAAAGGATTATAAATCATTCTCCTATAAAGACACATGCACATGTATGTTTATTGTGGCACTGTTCACAATAGCAAAGACTTGGAACTAATACAAGTGCCAATCAATGACAGACTAGATAAAGAAAATGTGGCACTTATCTACCATGAAGTATTATGTGGCCATAAAAAAGGATGAGTTCATGTCCTTTGCAGGGACATGGATGAAGCTAGAAACCATCATTCTCAGCAAACTGACGCAAGAACAGAAAACCAAACACCGCATCTTCTCACTCATAAGTGGGTGTTGAACAATGAGAACACATGGACACAGGGAGGGGATATCACACACTGGGGCCTGTTGAGGGGTAGGGGAGCTAGGGGAGGGATAGGAGGGCGTGGGGTGATAGGGGAGGCATAGCATTAGGAGAAATACCTAATGTAGGTGATGGGGTGATGGATGCAACAAACCACCATGGCACATGTAAACCTATGTAACAAACCTGCACATTCTGCACATGTACCCCAGAACTTAAAGTATAATAATATTTTTTTTAACTATTTAAAGTACTTACTCCATTACAGGTTGAACTTCCAAATAGGTGTTTCTTTCTAACTGCTTGAAATGGGTTTTGTTTGTTTGTTTGTTTGAAATGGAGTCTCGCCCTGTATCCTAGGCTGAAGTGCAATGGTGTGATCTCAGCTCACTGCAACCTCCACCTCCTGGGTTCTAGCAATTCTCCTGCTTCAGCCTCCTGAGTAGCTGGGATTACAGTAGCGTGCCTCTACACCCAGCTAATTTTTTGTATCTTTAGTAGAGATGGGGTTTCACCATGTTGGCCAGGCTGGTCTCAAACTCCTGACCTCGTGATCTACCCTCCTCAGCCTCCCAAAGTGCTGGGATTACAGGTGTAAGCCACCACACCCAGCCCTTTTTTTTTTTTAAAGTATCTTTGGTGTATGTATTTGCTGTGCTTGTATATAAGCATTTACCATTGCCTCTGTTTTTCAAAATGGAAATATCTCTCCATTTTTGCCTTCATTTTAGTTATCTATATAATTTAACCAATTATTCTACCAACTTAAAAAAAATGTCTTTTAAGTCAAAGTGGCTATAATATTTACTCTTATTCTAGAGGCAATGCAGGTACATGTTAAAAAAGAAGATTCAGAAAAGTATAAAGATGAAAAAATTATCTGTATAATTCTATCTAGAAATAATTATTATTTTGTTTTATATATAGGCATTTTTCTATGCACAAAATACAGTTTTAAAATTTAAAAATGGAATCCTATACATACCACTTACTAGTGTCATTTTTTTCTACTTGACAATGAATCATGGACATTTTTGAATGCTCACAAGTATAGATTACATGATTACTTTGAATAGCTGCGTAAGTCCCATTATGGGTGTGCCATTTTTTAAAACAATTCTTGTATTGATATGATTATTTAAATTTCTAATTTTTCACTCTTATAAATGAAACTTCATGAACATGTTTGCATATATATCTTTGTACACCTGTCCAGTTATTTTCTAGAGTAAATTCCTAGGAATAAAAATGGATCAAAGGGTATTTTAAGGTTTTGATATATATATTCATAAATTACTTGTCAGTTAGGTGTACCTATTTGTATTTCCATCAACAGTTTATGAGAATGCCTATTTCATCACAACATAATCAATGCTAGGTACTTTCAATCTTTTAAATCTTTGCTTATATGATAAAATAGCATAAAATAATATCTTGCTGTTTTAATTTACTTTTCTTTGATTACTAGTTATCTTCATTATCTTCTTATGTGTTTGTTAGAAGTTTTGCTTTTTGTTTTGTGAATTCCCCTTTACTCATTTTTCCATGGGGTATTTAATTGCCTAATTGAATTATAAGAGCTTTTTATATAGAAGGGCTATTTAAACTTTTTATTATATCACATATGTTACAAAACCTATTTCTTAGTTTGCCATTCACCTTTTAAATTTGTTTGTGCTATTTTGAGGCTTAGAAGTTGAAACTTAACCCTCAATTCTATTGATCATCTTTTTTTATAGTTTCTGGCTTTTCAGCCAGGCTTAAAAAGATGATATAAATATTGACTTATATTTTCTGTTAGTACTTTTATAGTCTTATTTTTACATTAATTTTTCTAAAGATCCGGAATTAATTTTTGTGCAAGAGGCAAGGTAACTTTTCCACATGTTAATAACAAAGTGACCCCACCATTAATTATTGAATCATTTATTCAGATAGAGCCTGTCTGCCTGCTTGCTTGCCTGCCTTCATTCCTTCCATCCTTCCTTTTTCTCATTCTTTCTTTCCACAGAAAGTATCTCTTCTCTTTTCTCTGATCCTGTATTTCCGGAGGGAAACAGAGATTGAGTGTCTAACTGAAACAGAGAAGAAAGAAACCAGAGAATGTAGTAATTCTGAATAGGTCCAGAAGTACTGCACAGCATTCTAGAATAGCTCTATTCTACAACCTTGCCCAGTGACACACACATAAACAGGAACTGCTGTGAGTCAACCATGGTACTTAAACCCACTCAGTTTCTTGGCAGAGGTGAGAATAACAAGGCAATTCTCTCAAGATTTGGGGGCATAATCCTGGTTATAATGGATTCATAACTTTGTACCTGTCAGCATTTAAAGGAGGAATGGACTTGACGAAGCTTCCAAGATTTACCTCTACTTGATTATGTAATATTTTAAGTGATCATAACAGGTTTCAATTTCTAAACTAATGTTTCCCTTTTAGGGCAGAACCATATACTTTTCCTCCTACTTCTACTAAGCACCTATCCATCCCTTCAAAGTCTACTGTGGGCACTCAGACTGATTATCGGGATGCTGACGTTCAAACAGATCCATACTCTCCAGAATATGTAGTATACCAGGACTCAATCCCTGAGCTCTTGACCCTGGCTACTCTTACTTGGGGTGAGTTGGTAAATCTCCTGACTATTGGCAGATGACAGTGCTGATAACCATGCATGCTTTTGAAATGGCCCATGTACAGGCAGTTGTGGTTTACAGTGTTGCTATAGAAAGTGTCTTAGTACAGTAACTTCATAGACTCATAATTTTTCTGATGCTTCTGGTCAAATAGAGATACTATCTTTTTATTGTAAGTAGTTTTCTTGTGCTCTATTTGTGAAGCTGAATATTTCAGCTTAATATTTCAGTTCTTTGCTGACTACTCACCTATGTCCTCTCATTTCTCTCTTCTAGTGAATCACATCCGTTTCATTGACCAATCATATTTCTTTACACATAAGCTTTTTTTTGAATGTATAATACTGAAGGCCGGGTGTGGTGGTTCACACCTGTAATCCCAGCCCTTTGGGAGGCTGAGGCAGGTGGATCACGAGGTCAAGAGATCGAGACCATCCTGGTCAACATGGTGAAACCCTGTCTCTACTAAAAATACAAAAAATTAGCTGGGCATGGTGGCACGTGCCTGTAATTCCAGCTACTCAGAAGGCTGAGGCAGAAGAATTGCCTGAACCCAGGAGGCGGAGGTTGCGCTGAGCCGAGATCGCGCCATTGCACTCCAGCCTGGGTAACAAGAGCGAAACTCCGGCTCAAAAAAAAAAAAAAAAAACTGAATGCACATTCCTATGTATGTAATATTATCTTAATTGGCCAAAATATCTTAATTTATCAAAGCTCCCTTATAAACTTTATTAGATAATTTGGATGATTTGATACTATCTCTGAAATACTAAATATCTTTCAGTCTCAGAAATTAGAATGTAATAAAATCTCATCTAGGCCTATATTATGTGAACCTATAAAATTAATAAGTGAGAGTACCTTTAGAAATTATTAGAAATTAGCTTATCTGGCTCAGTTGTATTAATAGTGGGAAACTGAGAACCAGAGAGGTTAATTAACTCCTCCAAGGACATAGAGATAGCTGGTACACTGTAATGATTTTTAAATGAGATTACTTCCTCCCCCACCTCCCATTGTAATGGATAGCTGTGACCAAATCTGCACCCCAGGCAAAGAAGGTGTTCATATCTGGGCTCTAGTTTTGATTCTTGTTCCCTGGCTCACTTATGAATCCAGATTACACATTCTCAACACCCATACTTTAAAGCAGAGGCTCTACTTTCAGGCTTGAAGGCAAATTAAAAATTTGCTGAAACCTTCCCTTTCTGCTCTGAAGGCATAAGAAGTACAGGAAAAAAATTAATAAACATATAGCCACACTTAAAAGCAAGAAAGAAAATATTCATAATGTAGAAATGGAGACTTTTTCCTAAAGAAAGAAGTAGCTGGGGACCTTTGGCAGTGAGCAGGAGCTGTGAATGGTGGGGAACCAGGTCCAAGGCACCTGTCTGAACTGGAGGGGCCAGCGCCTTTCTCCTGTACACAGGTGCCACTGAAGCCTGGTGCCTGCCCAATGAAGATTATAGCCAGAGGGGAGTCAGGCATTCCTACCTGTGGCCTTGGACTTTACCTCTTGGTGTGATAGGGACTTGGCAATAAACTACAGAAGGACAAGAGCTGGGCAGAGGCTCAGAAATGCTTCACTAGGCAAAAAAACCTAATCTGGTACACTGTCATAAGCAGAACTGAGGTTGAAGTGTCAATGAAAGCCTCTATGAGCCAGGCCTACTCTTGCCGTCTGTGGGGCCCAGGACTCTAAGGGAGGCCCACATACCATGCATATAGATATTTAAAAATTGTTAAGCTAATATCTGTTAAGTAAAATACTTTTTTTTCCCCACAAACATCTTTATACCAAGTTAAAAGGACAAGTTTAAATTGGAATTCTTAGACTCCTAGGATTCCATGCTGTAATGTGGCAGCAAGGCGAGAGCCCACTGCAGCCTGCCGTTTGCTTTCCCCTTCATGGCCCTGCTCTACATCTGAGGGCCCGTCATGCATGCCCGTGATTACCCCAGCTCTTCTTCCCAAACTCTCTTCACACATCCTACGAACAGCTGCCATTTGGCCCCACCTTGGGCTTAAGGGTAAACAAACAGCAGCATATAATATTCCTTCAGGAATCTGAATCTTGTGACAAGGCCCATGGAGACTTCGGAAGCAGGCTCGGAGCCATTTGTACAAGGATTTCCAGGACCTCTAAGCGTGGAGATAGCTCCAGGTGGGCATGGGGCCTTGGACTCTCACCCGGTAGTCATGAGCAGGGATCTAAAGAATGAGGTTAGGTAGGAGCCCCTCTTGCAGGTCAAGGCTGCTTACTGACCGGAGTCCTTATGAGAGAAACCTGCAGCTGATCTCCACTCAAGAACCCCAAAGTGCCCAAGGAACAGACACACCAGGAGTGACCCACAAAAAATAAAGGAAATGGAAGAATCAATTTCTGAATAAACAAAATTGAGCAATCTGAAAAGAAATTAGGAAGTGATTTTTATATTCTCACAAGAATAATGGGGAAATAGCAACACCAAAACAAGAATGGGAGTCATGAAAAATAACCACCTGGAGTCAAGGGGGAGGAAACCTCTAAAGTTTGAAATAAAATGGACTCAATATTAAAATAGACTGAGCTGAAGAGCAAATTAATGAAATGGCAGATTAAATGAACACATATTCCAGAATGCAACATATAGCGGTAGAACAAGATAAAAGAAAAGGAAGAGCTGTGGGGGCTAGGACATGAGTACAGGAAAAATGGTAGAGAAGCAATGCAAGAAAAGATAATGGCTGAGAACTCGCCAGAACTAAAGAAATATATTAGCCTTCACACTGAAAAATTTCACTGAGTACCAACCAGGATGATCCTTTAAAAATTCATACCTACTAACAAAAGTAAAAGAAAAAAGTGAAAAAAACTATTAGAAAGAGAACTCAGATTACCAACAAAGGAAAAAATAAGACTGATATTTTGTAGTATTACCTTTAAGGTTCTGTGGGAAAATGATTGCCAACCTAGAATTCTTTCACCAGCAAAACTATTATTGAGGAGCGAAGGTGAAATAAAGACATTTTCATACATAAGAAGAATATCTATCTCATAGGATACTGTAAGGATTAAGTAAATTTATTTATGTAATGTATTCATACATACAATCCAGCAATTTCATTCCTAGCTATACACCAAAAAAAAGAGCACAATATTCTACTAACAGAAATGCATAAGTGTGTTCACCAAAAGACATGTACAAGAAAACTCACAGCAGCATTATTTATAATAATTCCAAACTGAAAACAGTCCAAATGTCCATCAACCATAGAATGGATGAATAAAATATAGTTTATTCACATAATGGAATGCTATCTAATAATGAGAATGAAGTACAACTACATGTAGTTACAAGAGTGATTGTATATGTGTATATAATCGCATATATAATGCTGAGCAAAAGATAAAGAAGAGCACCTAAACTGTGATTTCATTTACATAAAACTTAAAACCAATCAAAACTAAATTAACGCATTAGGAATGAGGATGGTAGCTATCCTTGGACAGGTAGAGACTGGGAAGGGAGTTTCATGGGCATTCTAGGGTTCTGGTAATATTCTATTCCTTAATCTGGGTGCTGATTATATGGGATGTTTGATTTTGTTTATGTATGCTATACATTTATAAAAAGTTTACATAAAAATAAGGGGAAAATAACGACACAGTGAAAAAGATGACACTGTAAGTACTGAGGGGATAAGATTAAGTGCTTACGATACGCCAAGAACTGTTCCAAGCGCTTTACATTTTAAACCTATTCAGTCTTCACATGTAAAAGGAATAATAAAGTTAAAATAAATAGTTGACAAGTTAGATCTTTTAAAAGGCAAAAGAAATAGTCATTAGGGCCATAAGTAATTTTCTTTTTTCTTTGAGATGGAGTTTCTCTGCTGTTACCCAGGCTGGAGTGCAATGGCGCGATCTCGACTCAGCGCAACCTCCGCCTCCTGGATTCAGGCAATTCTCCTGCCCCAGCCTCCCAAGTAGCTGGGATTACAGGCATGCACCACCATGCCCAGCTATTTTTTTGTACTTTTAGTAGAGACGGGGTTTCACCATATTGACCAGGATGGTCTCGATCTCTTGACCTCGTGATCCACCCGCCTCGGCCTCCCAAAGTGCTGGAATTACAGGCTTGAGCCACCGCGCCTGGCCAGGGCCATAAGTAATTTTCTAATAAAGATTAATAAATGGCATAGTATTTGGATATAACTTACATTCATCCTCCCATATATGTAAACCATCTCTAGATTCCTTACAATTCCTAATGCAATGTAAATTCTGCAAAAATATTTATTATACTGTATTGTTTAGGGAATAATGACAAGAAAAAAAAGTCTGTACATGATCAGAACAGATGCAAAAATATTTTCAACCTGCAGTTGGTCAAATCTACAGATGGTAGAAGCCATGGATGTGAAGGGCCAGCTATACTAGTAGGGAAACTTACAGGCCAACCTCACGTATGAAGAAATATGCAAAAAATTCCAGATAAGATACTAGCAATCTAATCTTGCTGCATTTTTAAAAGAGTGACTTACCATAACCAAATGGAGTTAATCAGAGAAATTCAAGTTTGTTGCAATATTAGAAAGCTATTTATGTAATTTACCATTTTAATGGAAAACATAAGAAAAATGCTTCTCTGGATGCAGAAAAAAAGTATTTTATAACATGCAGTGCTCATTTATGGTATATAGTCTGAATAAACTGGGAGCAGAAGGAAACTTTAGAGACTTAAGGAGTATCTACCACAGTCTGTAATGAACAACATACTAAAGTTGAAACTTTAAAAGCTTTACTCTAAAAGAAAAAGACATTGATAATGCTCATTATCACCACTATTGAACAACATAGAGAAGATCCTAGCCCAGAGTTTATCAAGCTTGGCTATGATTCCTCCTCTCAGGAACCTTTGGGAGTACGGGTAGCATTTTTCTATGTAATAATGATTAGAAAGTGCTTCTGGCATTTAGCTCATGGGACAGGGTGTAGCGGATAGTCTGGTGTGGACACTCAACATCCTGTACTGCATGGGGAATTTTCATACAACAAATAGTTATCTGCCCAATATGGCAATAGCACCCTGGTTGAGGAACACTGAGTCAGTGCAGCAAGATAAGAGAAAAATGGAGGCATGGCGTTTAGAAAGAAGCAGCAAAACTATCCTTATTTGCATACATGTGCTCACTTAGAAAATCAAATTATCAGAACTAAAAAGGGTTCAACAAGAAATCAACATAGATCAGTTGCTTTCCTATATGAGAGCAATATCCAACTAAAAATATTGTTGAGGCTAGGTGCAGTGGCTCACACCTGTAACCCTCGCACTTTGGGAGGCCAAAGCAGGAGGATTGATTGAGGCCAGGAGTTTGAGATCAGCTTGGACAACATAGTGAGACCCCCATCTCTACAAAAGAAAAATTAGCTGAGTGTGGTGGTACTCACCTGTGGTCCTAGCTACTCAGGAGCCTGAAGCAGGAGGATTGCTGGAGCCCAAGGGTTCAATGTTATAATGTCAAGTGAACTGTGATCATGCCACTGTACTTCTACTTGGGCAACAGAGTGAGACCCTCTCAGAGCAGGAGTGGGAGCGGGAGGGGGAGGCAGAGGGGAGGCAGAGGAAGAGGAAGGGGAGGAGGAGGAAGAGGAAAGAAAAAGGAAAGAAAAGAAAAATTATTTACCTGAGGTTGGGAGTTTGAGACCAGCCTGGCCAACATGGTGAAACCCCATCTCTACTAAAAATACAAAGAAATTAGCTGGACGTGGTGTGTATGTCCCAGCTACTCATGGGGCTGGAGTGCAATGTTGTAATCATAGCTCACTGCAGCTTCAAACCTTATGGCTTAAGTGATCCTCTTACCCTGCCCTCCCAAGTAACTAAGGCCACAGGCCCACACCACCATGCCAGCCTAATTTTTAAAATAATATATATTTTTTGTGGAGGTGGGGTTTCACTATGTTGCCCAGGCTGGTCTCCAATTCTTGGATTTAGAAATCCTCCCGTATTCCTCCAGAAGTGCTGGGATTACAGGTGAGCCACCACACTTGGCTGAAAAAAATTACATACACGATAGCAATGAATAACAAGGTGCCTAGGAAATCACTTAATAAAACGTGCAAGGGATTTATGGTGAAAATCATAAATTATTCTTTAGGCATGTACAAAAAGATTTGATGAAAAGAGAGACAGAACATGTTTATCAATGGGAAAACTCATGCTTGAATAGATAAGACTTCTCTCCTGAGTAATTTATACCTTCAAGTATTTCTAATCCAGATACCCACTCTCAATATAACTATGCCTGGGTAAATTAGCACTTTTCATCTTCCCTTCCCAGAAATCACACAAAAGCAAGAACAGGAATACTCCCACAAACTCCATTTTCAGTAAAACTAAAAATATATATAATTCATGAACTACTAAATATTTGTAAGGACTGCAAAAAGGAGCTGAGATTGGGCAGATGCAATGTGGGAGGAAGTGAAGCATGCACCATGGGAGAGGAACCATCAGGGGATCTCAAAGCAGCAGCAAAAATATACTTCTGAGGGTAAATTAAGCAATATCCAGAATTAAAAATGATCATATTTTATGATGTAGCTGCTAGACTTTAGCATTTCTACTTCTAAGAATCCTAGAGAAACTCACATATGGTACAATGAGACCAGTACAAGGATGTTTGTTGCAACATGATGTACAATCAAAAAATTAAAAGCAATCTAAATGTCATTTGAGAAGATAGCTTAAATTGTAATAAAGCCTGACAGTGGAATAAGGAAACTAGATCTGTATATATCAGTACAGCGAGGCTTCCAAAACAAAATGGAGTAAAAAAAGCAAGTTGCAGAATGAGTAGCTACAGTACAGTATTGTGTATGTAAATTTTAACTAAACATCAGTACTGTGTTCTATATAATTCATTTTCAGTTCTATTTGTTTTTACTAGAGAGGAAGTATAGTATAGTGCACAAAAATGCAAGGTTCACACTGCCACGTGCACCTTCTGATTTACACCTGCAGCCTTGTGCAAGTTACTTAGCCTTGTAGCCCTTCAGTCTCTTCATTTGTAAAACAGACATAATTGTATTTATGTGATAGGGATTTGTTCAGGATTAAATGGATTAGAAAAGTGCTTGGCATAATAAAAGATTAAGTAATGTTAGGTTTTATTATTATTATAATTCATAGATATAAATTTGTATATAAAATGTTAAGATTGAATGAAAAACCACAATTTATTTTTCTGTTTGCTTTGGAAAATGGGAGAAGGGAATGGGGCTTGATGTGGTAGTTAAAAGGAACATCGGCTTTATTTATAATGTTTTAATTTCTTTGATTACAAAATGTAAAGTATATATGACAAAATGTGTATTGTTGTTAAGTCTGCATATATATGGTATGATTTTCATAGTTATTTTTTAAATTACTAAAGAAAATACCACACAAGACCCACAAAATAATGTGTAGATACATATATATGGTATTTTGTATACAGTTTTATTTACTTCTTTATATATCTATAAAAGTAAAAAGATGAACTGGTAGTATTACTCCTCACTAAATGGGTCATTGTGACTGCCTCTGGGAAGGTGATCCGAATGAGGAAGCAGAGTACAGAATTTTAGCCTTCTCTATAATGCCCTAATTTTGAAAACAAGAGGCAGTGTAATTATATATTACTTATTTGCTTTTTAAAAGCATACACATTACGAAAGATCTGAAATAAGACAAAAATCTTAGGCATGGCCTCCTGTATGTGGTAGAAAATATGACTTGTTATTTATGTCCTTGGATTTTTATATACAATTATGTGTTTGAATGAAAATAAAATGAAAGTTGGCTTACTGTGATTTGGTGATCAAACAGGAAAATTGTTCCAGCCTCCCTTTCCTTTAGTTGCTTTTACAAGGCCGCATTTAGAGGTGCTAGATACCTAAATGTGCTGGCATCCTCCAAACTTGGTCCAGGGAGGCATACGTAGGTTTAGGTCTCGGCCAAGGTCTCGGAGCTGGTCAGGAGACATATCTAGTGGCGCTACCCTCCTGCCTGACCTACAGGTACTGTGTCTTTGAATGCTTAAAGTTGGAGGTGAGAGATAGCCCTAAACTGTACATTCACTGTGGGGGACAAAACCCAAAGATGGCAAATTCTCAGCTAGTGATTAGTGTCTTCATTTTCTATTATTTTTTAGAAAAATAATAGAAAAGTATCTGGCCAAGTGGCTCATGGCTGTAATTCCAACACTTTGAGAGGCTAAGGTGGGAGGATTGCTTGAACCCAGGAGTTTAAGGCCAGCTTGGGCAACATGATGAAACCTTGTCTCTACAAAAAATAGAAATAAATTAGCCAAGTGTGGTGGCACATGCCAGCAGTCCCAACTACTTGGGAGGCTGAGGTAGAGGATCATTTGTGCCTGGCAGGTCAAGGCCACAGTGAACTCCAGCCTGGGTAACAGAGTGAGACCTTGACTCAAATATATATATTCACGTTTATCCAACAAATTCCCTACTCCATATTTTTCCCATCTCAGGACTTTGAAATTTCCTTGTATTTCAGAATGTAAATTTGTTTATTACAGAGCGTTCCAAGGTGTGATTATTCAGCAGTCACTTAATGTTCTTCAAATACATTCCAGCATCTTACATGCAACTAAAATGTCTTTTGGCTCAATTACTAACAAGAGGCAGTGGGGCACAGGTAACACAAGCTGTGAGGCACATCTAGAGGGTGTTCCCTAATGTCATGTTATCTTGTCATAACTGACAGGGAGTAAATTACATACTAGGGGGTGCGTGGGTTACCCACTTGTTCCTAAGCTGTGCTGCTTCATTCTGCAGGTCGGGGTCTCCCAGCAGGACAAGCTGAGGTGGAGATGATAGAAAGAGCCCGTGAGAAGCGTGCTTGGGAAGCCACCCTTCCCCCTCTGAGTGACGCCTTCCAGTATGAGAAGAGGAGGAAGATGATGAATGAAATGGAGAGGAAGGAGTGGGCCTTCAGAGAGCAGGAGATTGAAAAGTAGGTTCTCTATCACCTAGACAACTGTTCCTGCACTGGTGGGAGTAATATTAATGCTTTATATCTGCAAAGCATTCCCCCAAATGTATGGGTTGAAAAGCATCCTCAACCTGTAGAGATAGGAAATTGGGCTTCCAGTTCTTTCAGGAGCAGTCACATGCTTCTGATGTGGTCCAGAAGCTCTCTATAATTTTCTCTCCAATAACATAAAAATGTAGAATGCCCTCTCTGTGTGTGAAGAAGCTCAGCATGGGACCCAGGTTTGAACAACTCCTGAAGGGCATCTCTGATTCTTCTCCTCCCTTTGCTCTTCAGTATCTATTTTAACTGTCACAGAATCCCACTAATTTCTGCAAAGCACCTTTCAAACTGTCCTTTCATCTTCATTCCCATTGCCACTATCCCAGTGCCTGGGCTTTCTTCATAGTCCTCCAAACAGCCTTGGCACTAGTCCTATCTCTTACCTCCCTGCTCCTGACAATGGATTCACAGTCAGGATGCCTTGCATTCTGGCTAGAGCTAAAGGGAGCATTTCCTATTTAAAAGACAAATTATGGAATAATTCCATTAAGAGTTGAGTTTCTATAACAATATACACAAATAACAATATGCTGAGGTAATTGTGGTTGGGTTTTCAATCATTTCAACTGATATATTTCCAGTAATGGAGTTGTTGCTGATATGTGGAAATGGTAAGAGATGATGAGAACCAAAATTTAAAACTCTCTAGCAAGAGCAAAGGAAGTGCGTTTGCTGAGGTTGTCCTTTGTGCCAGGCTGTGCTGATGCATTTTATTGCTCAGAGAAATGCTGCCAAAGACCCTTACACACAAGAGAGGGACCCAAAGTGTTAGAGACTCAGCTTGGTGCTAAATGTGGAATATGTTAATTTTTTTGCCACACCTTCAGATTAAGTCTGAATCTAGGCTTTGTGATGTTTTGATAAAAGCTTGCAATTTAATTTAAAAAATAGTGTTTGGGGCAAAGTAGGTGTCAAATACCCAATCCTATTGGCAGAAATTTAAATTTATTATTATATTTTGGAAAGATATGTGTCTTTTCAAAAGGCATTAAAACTAGAAAAATGTCCAGAGGGCCAGAGTGAAGACGTCACCTGAGAAAGTGAGTACATTTGTTAAACTGAGGACAATTTTCATACATGTATTTTGAGTCCCTTCTACATGCTAGGCTCTGTGCTGTGAATTAAGAAAATAGGGATGCATAGGAAACTGCTCTTCCTGACAGAGGTCCTTATGGTCTACTGGGGCAGGAGGGCAGGGAAGGTGGGCAAAGATGCGACAAGATCTTAGATCAACCCCTCTCAGGTGTGCCTATCAGGTGATGTGCTATTCTGTACACGAAGTGCTCGGGGAATCTAGGTGAGAGAACAGTTAGTTCTATTTAAGGTGGGTGATTTGAGAAAGAAAACTGCTGAGAGGAAGTATCTTCTGAGCTGAGTTTTGAGGGGTGCCTAAGAAGCCATCAGGCAGATAGTAATATCAGACAATAATATCAGAAGCTATCAGGTAGAACAATGCCTGAGGGGTGTTGGTCTGAGATCTTTGGCACCATTTCCCTGCCCATCTCCCTGCCCCTTTCTGCCCCATTGAACTCTAAGGAGCTCTGTCAATAATATCAGATTGATGATGATGATGTGTTGATGATGATGATTAGTGGACTATAAGGAGCTCTGTCAATATCAAATGATGAGTGAACTATAAGCTCTGTCAATAATATGATGATGATCATGATGATTGGTGGACTAAAAGTAGTTCTGCCAGTGATATCAGATGAAGAAGAAGACATCTATAGAGCGTGGAACATTTATAGAGGGCTTACTATGTGCCAGATGATGTTCTAAGCATACAGTTCTCGAAGTGTGGTCCACAGACTAGCAGCATCAACATTACCTTGGAACTTGGTAGAAATGCAGATGACCAGGCCCCATCCCAGGACCTGTGAATCAGGGATTGTCAGCAATCTGTGTCAGAAACTGCCCTCTGGATTGTGCTGCTGCACTCTTAAATTTGAGACTACTGTTCGAGCACTGTATATGCATTAACTCACCTAATGCTCACAACAACCTCATGAAGAGGGTACTATTATTATCTCCACTTTGTCATTGAAGAGATTAAGGTCAGTGGTGACATGGAAAATTGAACCTAGCATTTCTAACTCTAGAGAGAAAGGTGGCTGGGGGTGTGTGTCTTAGTTTTTAAGCCTAGTTCTCCATACTCATTTGTCACTACACTCTCGCCCCTCAAGCGTATTCAATCTGAGAAACGCTGCCAGTGTGACATCTTGCTCTCCCTCCAGTCCCTGCTGAGGCCCTGCTTTTCCCTTGTCAATCTGGCACATCTTAATCCTGAGTTGACAGCTCTTCTAAGGAAGGCTTTTCCCATCTTCTCCCTCTTTTCTCCCTGCCCTATTCTTTCTTCTCCCACAAAGACTTTTCACTCTTCTAGCTGGTATGCATCTCCTCGTGCTGGAAGTGTCGGTTCACATGTCCATTCACCACAACAGTGCTTCTTGAGAGAAGGCATTTTATCTTGTACATCATTGTTCCTGCCTGGCATGTGGTGGGCACTTAATACATATTTGGCAAATGAGTAAGTGAATAAATTCAGGTATGAATTTCTAAGTAGGAGTAAAATGTATATTCAAATCTCTGTTTTAGGAAGGAAAACCTGGACAGCTGGGTACAAAAAAAGATTGGAAGGAGGAGAGACTAGCAGCAAGGAGTCCACGTTAGGAATGAGATGACCAAAACATGAGCTAGGGAATACAAGAAGTATTTCTGAGGAGTGATCCTTAGCAGAGTGAAGAGGTATAAGAGGGGCAGACATCCGGGGGAACAAGTGAGTAGGGTTTTTTTTTTTTTTAATTGTCAAGGGACAGTTGGAGATTCAAATAGATGGAAATTCTGGTTCAGAAATATCTAAGCTGAGCTAGGTGCAGTGGTTCATGCCGGTAATCCCAGCACTTTGGGAAGCCAAGGTGGGATCACTTGAGGCCAGGAGTTTGAGACAAGCCTGGCCAATGTGGTGAAACTCCATCTACACTAAAAATACAAAAGTTAACCAGGCATGGTGGCAGGCACCTGTGGTCCCAGCTACTTGGGAGGCTGACACACGAAAATCGCTTGAACCCAGGAGGTGGAGGCTGCAGTGACCTGAGATCAGGCCACTGTACTCCAGCCTGGGCAACAGAGCAAGACTGTCTCGAAAGAAAGAGAGAAAGAGAGAGAGGAAGGGAGGAAGGAAGGAAGGAATGAGGGAAGGAGGGATGGAAGGAAAGGAAGGGGAGGGAGGAGGGAGAAAAAGAAGGAAGAAAGGAAAGAAGGGAGGGAGGGAGAGAAAAAGAAAGAAAGATCTAAGCTGGAGGTACAGATTGCAAAGTCATCTGCATTGCGTTCTTGGATGCAGATGAGCAAGGTAGCCCAAGGAGAACAAGTCAAAGATAAGGGGAAAGGAAACAAAAATTTGTTGAGTACCTATTATATGCCAGGCACTGCATTTGCACCTCACTCCTTAGGATAGCATGCCAGAACCGCATTTCCTCCTCACTCTCCCTATTATGTAACCTTCCAGGAATACCACTCGACCTGGCACTGTGCACAAACCTCTTGCTGTTCCTTTAGGCCCATCTGTCTAGAGAGCCCTTCTTTTACCCCATCTGCCTGGCATACTCTTCTTCATCCTTGAGAACTACACCCATGTATATTTCTATTATATAGTGAGTCTCTATTGAGTTGTCTCCCCCACGCCCCCACTTCATCTGTCATGCTTTTGCTGGAGTGGTCTTTTGACAATACATGAACATGATACCAGCCCACAGAGAAGAGCCTGTCTGTGGCAGCCATTTCCTTGCCCTCTGAGATGCCATATGGTTCTTTATGTTTTGTAATTTACTTGAAGACTGCAGGAGATTCGCCTGGAAGTTCTAAAAGAGCTGTTGAGGATGCGTGACAAGAATCAGAATGAAGTGAATATGAAGCACTTGAATGCCCGGTGGTCTAAACTGCAGGAGGCAAAAGAGGCAAAAATGGCAAAAATTCAGCGCACACATATATCAAGTAATGGTGTAGTATGAACAACGAAGTCAGTGGAAAAGTGGGCTTTGCTTTGGATCTTTGACCAAACCTGACTTAACTATGTTATAATTCTGTTTTGGTCCTGGGAATCACATAGGTAAGGGCTGAGAGATGAGTTATTTCTTAAAGGTACAAGAGTGGAGGAAAATCCCTCACTAAGCAAATCAAGTGACGGTGTCCTAACAGGTAGTCAAGTTATTGAGATAATGGAAGTGTGTGTGTCTGTATGTGTGTGTGGTGGGATAGGTGTTGGGTTTCCCATATTCATGGTCCACCACCCTGGATAAAGAGCCCTGTTTCTTACCCTTTCTTCATGATTGCTCTTAAAGGAGACATTTCAGACACATCCCTTTTTCTAATTACCCCTCTACAAGAAATTTTAATACCACAGATATATGTGTTTATGAACTATATGTGTATCTGTACTTCATACATGGAAAGAGGAAGTATATAATTTATTATTTTTATTAAGAATGACTGAATTAAAGATTCAAGTTAAATTTCTGCTTTAAAAATTTAAGGTCAAGAGAGGTAGCTTATGCCTGTAATCCCAGCACTTTGGGAGGCTGAAGTGAGAGGATTGCTTAAATTAGCTAGAAATTCAAATCCAGCCTGAGCAACATAGTGAGACCCTATCTCTACAAATTTTTTTTTCAGCATAGCCAGATGTAGTACACATCTGTAGTTGTAGCTACTTGGAGGCTGAGGTGGGAGGATGGCTTGAGTACAGGAGCTCAAGGCTACAATGAGATACGATCGCATCACTACACTCCAGCCTGGGTGACAGAGACCTTGTTTTGAAATAAATAAATAAATAGTTTCAATTACATGTGCAGACTATTTATGTACTCATTCACAATGTAATCACATTTTAAAAAATCATTCAAAACTTATTTTTTCCAACAAAAATAAAACAATCACAAAAATGAATTATTGCTTAAAATTATGTTTAGTGAACTTAATTTTTAAATTATTTTTAGATGGAGTCTCGCTCTGTCGCCAGGCTGGAGTACAGTGGTGTAATCTCGGCTCACTGCAAACTCCGCCTCCTGGGTTCAAGCGATTCTTCACCTCAGCCTCCCGAGTAGCCGGGACCACAGACGTGTGCCACGACGCCCGGCTAATTTTTGTATTTTCAGTAGAGACAGGGTTTCACCATGTTGGCCAGGATAGTCTCGATCTCTTGACCTCGTGATCTGCCCACCTCAGCCTCCCAAAGTGCTGGGATTACAGGCGTGAGACACCGTTCCCAGCCGAACTTAAATTTTAACTTTTTCTTGATGTGAGAAAAGAGCATTTAACTGCTAGGTATTTATTTAGATATGCTCAATATTTTTTTCAGTACTTGGAATAACTCATGATAGATCTGACTAATTTTTATAGGTGAATAATAAAATTGAAATCATTTTTACTTAATTGTAAAACCAAAGTCACACCCAGAAGTGCTGAGGATCAAACATCCCCAAGCAACATCCCCAAGACAGCAGTGGTACACAGGCCCCTCTTGCAGCGTGACATCATGATCTTGTGATAAGATTTATACCCCATTGAAAGTCCACAGTGTAAAGCCGCCAAAAGGGCTTGTGTCTGTGATGGGATTTGAAAGAAAAAGAGCATGAGCGGTAGGGAGCATCACTCTTTAGGTGAGTATACTCCTGTTGTGCACAGTCAAGCCTTTTCTCTCTGACTGCCAAACAATTCGGAAAGCTATAAGCTGGGACATTCTCTGGTTTATTTTGGTGTCAACCAAGATGAACCTGTAGTCTTTGCTTTTGATTATTGTAGGGGAGAATAATTCCCTAGTTCTCCACTGAACATGTATTTTCCAGATGCTCTGAGTTTTACTCATTTAACAAACTTTTACTGAATACCTCTTCTTGGCCTGGAGCTTGAAATGCAGTTATAAAAGATTTCTGAGGAGTACCGATTGAGGACACTAGCTGATTCTGCTTCTGTCACTCCTGCCTGTCTCATGACAATCTGGGCCACACAGATGGCAGACCTCTGTTTTTAGTGTTACATTCTGGCTGTCATGAGTCATCATGAAATTCATTCATTTCAATAGCTTCTCTGAATAACACTAGAATCGGTTTACTCTTCTGCGTTTGTATAATTTAGAACAATATTTTGGAGATATCATGAAGGTATGTTTTATTTCAGCAATCAGAAAACTTGTAGGAAAGGGAAAGAATATAGAAGGGAAGCTGGAGAGAAGAAATATCATCAAGGACTATTCTGATTATGCATCACAGGTCTATGGACCTCTGTCTCGTCTTGGGTGTTTCCCAGACAACAACTCAGAGGACTTTGTAGTAAAAAACTACTATCTCAACACCTATGAAGGTAAGCAACTTATATAATTGGAAATCCAATATAAGAAGGTTATCTCAGAAATATGATCAAATATATAAAATGTAGAAATTTAGATTAAAAGCTAAGCAAAAAATACTTGCAATAAATATTGATGAACAGGTTTAACATCATTAATGTGAGTTTATACAAACAAAAACTACTAAGACACAAATAAACAAATGAATATGCTACAGAACAGTTCAGCAAGAAGTAAATTCAATTAGCTACTAAATGTTAAAAAATGTTTAATGTCACTAATAAAGTTATTTAACAATGAAATAGAGAAAACTTTATATTAGGTTTATGAAGCAAACAAGAAATACCTTTAATGAAGTCAACCCTTTACAAAGAAATGTCAAAAAATAGTGGGCAAGAGGAATAAATTCATGGAAAGGGGTATACCACTTATGAAATTCAAAAGAGGCTTACTTAGTTACCTAATTTCACTTGACAAGTTGAAGTATCGCATGGCCAAGATCATGAGTTGCTGGTTACACTGCTGAACTTGTAGCTGTGGCTGGCCATCTCCAGAGCAGAATGTAATAAATTGGTGAACATCTACTTTAGAACAGTGGACCACATATCATAGAATCATTAGTTTTTTTGTTGATTATTATTGTGGAATTCCTACTTTTTCATAGGGTGATATTTTCATTTTAGAATGCATTTCTCATTGTACAGTCTAAGTCACTGAGAACATGAGTTAATTATACGGAAATATGCTATCACATTTCTAGGACACTTCATTCTGTTACATGAGATACACCCTCTCAACAATTCTAATGAAACTGCCTAGCAAACAGCTACAAAACTTAACAATATACTCTAAAAATAATAAATGTAAGCATTGGATACTAAAAACATGTACTTCCTTCCCATAGGATTAGTCGAACTTGAATCATGTCTCCCAGATTTTGTGACACAACCCCGAATCAGAGCTCCAAAACCTAAAATCATTACCACCAAAGCCGGTTTTCTGAAGAGAGCAGCAAGGTTGGACAATGAGTTGGCAGAGATTCATAAGGTATAATCATTATCTGGAGACAATGACTTCCAGTGTGGCTTTTGCAGATAAATGCTACACTTCAAAAATTGCAGCAGTGTCCAGTGGATCAAACAGCTACATTCTCTGCTCTGCACTTTCTGAGGTTGCCCCTGCTGTGCTGAACCTATGTGTATTTCCCCTCATTTCACACTACAAGAACCTTCTTGGAGATTATTTTCCCCATTTGCAGACATCATATTACTTTCTGAAAGTGTTTTCAATTTGGATCTCTGTATAAAATTTGACACTATACTAAGGTACGGCAAGCTTCTAGTATTCAGAATTATGATTGGTGTTAATAGTTGTAATAGGCCCGATTTTCTCCCGTTTGTGTTCATGTGATTAGGACATATGAAGAAACAGAGTCACGTTCAAATCCTTTCTCATCAGGTTAAAACTCTAAAGGAAAATGTGTGATGGTCTTCCCCAAGACCCACAGCACGTCATCTATCAGCTGGCGTTTACCTTTTGCTGGACTATAGGTGTACAGAATCTATGGTTTATGATGGTGGTCCTCAATCTGCCCTGTGCATCAGAATCTTCTAGAGGACTTGTTAAAACACATGCAGCTGGACCTCATCCCTAGTTTCTTGATTCAGTGGGTCTGAAGTGGGGCTGGAGCATTTGTGTTTTTTATGTTTCCCAGTGATGCTGCTGTTGCTAGTCCAGGAACCACACCTTAAGGCCCACTGGTTTATGATACACTTTCATCACTGGTCCACACATGTTTGTTTTAGTCGTTTATAAAAATTGATGGGAACCCATCCTCAAAACAGGTCCTTGACAGTAATTTACATATATATCGAGGTGGTTCTCTCCTGCCTCATCCCCACGCCCCCATCCCCTTTTACCCATCCTAACTGCTATATTCATCATTCTCTTAACTTTCTATTAAGATTTTTTATAGATTCTTTTTATTAGGTTATAGAAGTTCGCTTCTATTCTTAATTTACTAAAGCAGTTAATCATGTGTTTATGTTGAATTTTGTCAAATGTTTATATCAACTGCATAATTTTTATACATGTTATTTTTAAAATTATTTTAGTAACATTTGTAATTGCTTACAAATATTAATCTATCTTTGCATACCTGAGATGAACCTGCCTTGGTTAAAACATACAGCTTATTTTTAATATCTTGTTGGATTTGGTTTACTCATATGTTGATTAGGCTTTTGCTTCTATATTCATGAGTGAAATGGCCGTCTTGTTTTTCTTTCTCGGTTTGACTATATATAGGGTTGGTGTTATAATTATACAGGTCTCCTGAAATGAACTGGAGAATATTCCTTCCTTTTTCTTTTTTGAGAAGAGTTTAAATAGGATTGGGATGATCTGTTCCTTCAATTTGGTAGAATATGCATATGGAATTATCTGGGACTAATGTTTTCTTCATAGGAAAAATTTTAACCACTACCTCAATTTCTTCAAAACTTACAGAACACTTCTGCATTATGTTTTGTAAATTACATTTTCTTTATACATTACATTGCTCCTAGCTTTTCGATTTTTTTTGCACATAATTGTTGATGGCATTTTTTAAATAATCTTTTTAATGTTTGTTTTGTCTTATTCATTATTCCTGTCTACTTTTTTCATTTACAGCAGTGTTTATTTATGCCTGAACTCTTTTTCTGAATCAATTTTACTGAAGTCTTGCTTAGCTTCTTAGTATTTGTGTTTCCAAACAATGAACTTTCGATTTTGTTGATTTTCTGTATAATGTATGTTTTTTCAATCACATTAGTTTCTACTCCTATATTTATGATATATTTCTTTCTACTTTCTTTAGGTTTGTTTCACAGGTCTTTTTTTTTTATTGCATTTTAGATTTTGGGGTACATGTGAAGAACATGCAAGATTCTTGCATAGGTACACACATGGCAGTGTGATCTCCTGCCTTCCTCCTCTTCACCTATATGTGGCATTTCTCCCCATGCTATCTCTCCCCAACTCCCCACTGCCTGCTGTCCCTCTCCTATTTCCCCCCAACAGACCCCAGTGTATGATGCTCCCCTCCCTGTGTCCATGTATTCTCACTGTTCAACACCTACCTGTGAGTGAGAACATGTGGTGTTTGATTTTCTGTTCTTGTGTCAGTTTGCTGAGAATGATGGTTTCCAGGTTCATCCATGTCCCTACAAAGGACACGAACTCATCGTTTTTGATGGCTGCATAATATTCCATGGTGTATATGTGCCACATTTTCCCTGTCCAGTCTATCACTGATGGGCATTTGGGTTGATTCCAGGTCTTTGCTATTGTAAACAGTGCTACAATGAACATTGGTGTGCATGTGTCCTTAGAGTAGAACGATTTATAATCCTTTGGATATATACCCAGTAATGGGATTGCTGGGTCAAATGGAATTTCTATTTCCAGGTCTTTGAGGAATCGCCACACTGTCTTCCACAATGGTTGAACTAATTTACACTCCCACCAACAGTGTAAAAGTGTTCCTATTTCTCCACATCCTCTCCAGCATCTGTTGTCTCCCGATTTTTTAATGATCGCCATTTTAACTGGCGTGAGATGGTATCTCAATGTAGTTTTGATTTGCATTTCTCTAATGACTAGTGATGATGAGCATTTTTTCATATGTTTGTTGGCCTCATGTGTGTCTTCTTTTGTAAAGTGTCTGTTCATATCCTTTGCCCACTTTTGAATGGACTCGTTTGTTTGTTTTCTTGTAAATCTGTTTTAGTTCTTTGTAGATTCTGGATATCAGCCCTTTGTCAGATGGGTAGACTGCAAAAATTTTTTCCCATTCTGTTGGTTGCCGATTCACTCTAATGACTGTTTCTTTTGCCATGCAGAAGCTGTGGAGTTTGATTAGGTCCCATTTGTCTATTTTGGCTTTTGTTGCCAATGCTTTTGGTGTTTTAGTCATGAAGTCCTTGCCTATGCCTATGTCCTGAAGGGTTTTGCCTAGGTTTTCTTTTAGGGCTTTTATGGTGTTAGGTCTTATGTTTAAGTCTGTAATCCATCTGGAGTTAATTTTAGTGTAAGGTGTCAGGAAGGGGTCCAGTTTCTGCTTTCTGCACATGGCTAGCCAGTTTTCCCAACACCATTTATTAAACAGGAACTCCTTTCCCTGTTGCTTGCTTTTGTCAGGTTTGTCAAAGATCAGATGGTTGTAGATGTGTGGTGTTACCTCCGAGGCCTCTGTTCTGTTCCATTGGTCTAGATCTCTGTTTTGGTACCAGTACCATGCTGTTTTGATTACTGTAGCCTTATAGTATACTTTGAAGTCCTGTAGTGTGATGCCTCCCGCTTTGTTCTTTTTGCTTAGAATTGACTGGGCTATGTGGGCTCTCTTTTGGTTTCATATGAAGTTTAAGGTGGGTTTTTCCAGTTCTGTGAAGAAGGTCATTGGTAGCTTGATGGAGATAGCACTGAATCTGTAAATTACTTTGGGCAGTGTGGCCATTTTCACGATATTAATTCTTCCTAACCAGGAACATGGAATGTTTCTCCATCTGTTTGTGTCCTCTCTTATTTCGTTGAGCAGTGGTTTGTAGTTCTCCTTGAAGAGGTCCTTTACCTTCCTTGTTATTTGTATTCCTAGGTATTTTATTCTCTTTGTAGCAATTGTGAATGGCAGTTCATTCTTGATTTGGCTCTCTTTAAGTCTGTTATTGGTGTATAGGAATGCTTGTGATTTTTGCACATGGATTTTGTATCCTGAGACTTTGCTGAAGTTGCTTATCAGTTTCAGGAGATTTTTTGCTGGGACGATGGGGTCTTCCAGATATACAATCATGTCGTCTACAAATAGAGACAATTTGACTTCCTCTTTTCCTATTTGAATACCCTTTATTTCTTTTTCTTTTTTTTTTTTTTTTTTTGCCTGATTGCTCTGGCTAGAACTTCCAGTACTATATTGAATAGGAGTGGTGAGAGAGTCTAGTGCCAGATTTCAAAGAGAATGCTCTCAGTTTTTGCCCATTCAGTATGATATTGGCTGTTGGTTTGTTGTAAATAGCTTTTATTATTTTGAGATACATTCCATCAATACCTAGTTTATTGAGGGTTTTTAGCATAAAGGGCTGTTGAATTTTGTCAAAGGCCTTCTCTGCATCAATTGAGATAATCATGTGGTTTTTGTCTTTGGTTCTGTGTATGTGGTGAATTATGTTTATAGACTTGCTTATGTTGAAGCAGCCTTGCACCCCCGGGATGAAGCCTACCGATCATGGTGGGTAAGCTTTTTGATGTGCTGTTGCAGTCGGCTTGCCAGTATTTTATTGAAGATTTTTGCATCTATGTTCATCATGGATATTGGCCTGAAGTTTTATTTTCTTGCTTAGTCTCTGCCAGGTTTTGGTGTTAGGGTGATGTTGGTCTCATAAAATAATTTGGGAAGGATTCCCTCTTTTTGGATTGTTTGCAATAGTTTCAAAAAGAATGGTACCAGCTCCTCTTTGTACGTCTGGTAGAATTCGGCTGTGAACCCATCTGGACCTGGGCTTTATTTGGGTGGTAGGCTCTTAGTTGCTGACTCAACTTCAGACCTTGTTATTGTTCTATTCAGGGTTTTGACTTTTTCCTGGTTTAGGTTTGGGAGGATGCAAGTGTCCAGGAATTTATCCATTTCTTCCAGGTTTACTAGTTTATGTGTATAGAGTTGTTGGTAATAATCTCTGATGATGGTTTGTATTTACGTGGAATCTGTGGTGATATCCCCTTTATCATTTTTTATTGCATCTATTTGGTTATTCTCTCTTTTCTTTTTTATTAATATGGCTAGTGGTCTATTTTGTTGATCTTTTTGAAAAACCAGCTCCTGGATTTATTGAATTTTTGAAGGGTTTTTTATATCTCTATTTCCTTCAGTTCTGCTCTGATCTTAGTTATTTCTTGTCTTCTGCTAGAATTTGAGTTTTTTTGATCTTGCTCCTCTAGCTCTTTCAATCTGATGATAGGGTGTCGATTTTAGATCTCTCCTTGCTTATCATATGGGCATTTATTGCTCTATA